TGGAAATCTACGGCATACACCAGATACATACCTCAGCCCATACAAGAAGTACGTCTGGCTTTCAAAACTATGAATTTGTAATCTGTTATGTCCGGTTGTAGGACGAATAAATGGTTATCTCTTTTTGCCCTCTTTTATTTCAGGCCTACTTCCTCGTCAGTTCCGGCACACCACAACTGACATTTCCTTTCATGGTTTGTCCTATTTATATAAGTTATACTACGGCTTATGCCCTGACCACAAATGGAAGGCGTGGCCTGAAGTTGTGGGAAGGGCTGGGTTACCCTTCTTAAGGGACTCCAGACCCTTCCCTCACTACCTGTTAGGTGCGACGGATTCTCCCACCCACCACACCGCTTTCATAAGCATTTTTATAAGGTAGGCCCTCTTTTATTTCAGGCCTACTTCCTCGTCAGTTTTGGCACACCACAACTGACATTTCCTTTCATGGTTTGTCCTATTTATATAAGTTATACTACGGCTTATGCCCTGACCACAAATATATATATATTTATACACAAAACCTGTGGTCTACTACACACTACACCAGAGCTACTTGAGATAGAAGTAAACAATAAATATAAAATATAGTGAGAGCTTAATAAATAAGTGAATATACGAGATGTATTCACAGAAATGTTTAATAGTATCAATAGATAAAGATACATTAGCTCAAACATGTTATAGTTTCAATCAAACATAGATACATTCCATCACATTGGCATCTGATTCGCAATGCTGTAAAATAACTACAACACAGATGCCCATGTGAAGATAGTATGGATAAAAGGTCATCCAAAATTAAAAAATGGCCAACAGGCTAAAAGCTGTAAAATATACCCTCTAAAAATTATATATCACAGGCATTCAGCATCACATCCTCACCACTTGGCCTAACAAACTAAATTCGCTAAACAGTGAGATACATACAGAATAAAAACGATCTAAAAACCAACCCAAAAAATAAATACACCACTATGTAAACAACAAGAGAACATCATATAAATAAAGTATGTGACGGAGCTCCCTGTACCTCGGCTGGGTACCTCCACCAAGGGTCGCTTCCTAGCTGGAACAAGGGACAACCCCGCAGCACTTCTGCCCACAGTCGCGATGGCTTGACTGGGGCCCTGGAACCGCTCCCTCCTGGAGCTGAATGGGGAATTAGCTCTAGACACCCCCAGGCACTGGACGACACTCAGTCCTGGGAGCTCTAGTCCTTACAAGGACTTTCCCCGTTGAATCTGGAACAGCAGACACAGGGGTTACATCTTCCTTCCCTCCAATAACAGGACGACACACAGTTTTGGAGTAAAGGCTGGAATGCTTTAATGGCAGCCACAACTGGCCTTATATGCAGCTTCTCATGCAAGGGGCACTCTCCCCTGGACCTTGTGGGGGACTGCAACACAAAGTCACAGACCAATGACAAAGGTTTTTAAATACATGACACTCCCATAAACAAGCATACAATCCCTCCCCTCTGCCTGGGAGATAATTGGATCAGCAACTGTACTAATTCAAATCCAATTATCTCCAAGCACAGAAAAAACATAAGTTTTTAAAACACCCCAAATGTACCCTAAAAATACATAAAACCCCACAAATGTTACATCCCCTGATAGCCCTGACCTGGGTGACCAACATATCCAAAAATCACCCAGATCAGTTCCGGGGTTCAGGAATTTCCTGGAAGTCATAATTCTGACCGACCATGCACATGACAGTCTTATGCCCAAAACAGATCCATGAAATCAGTGCTGTCGGTCCATTTCGGTAGTCTTTTACAGGTTTCCCTGCAGGGTCCATAGTCTGTGGGCAGGAGGCTGGCAAGCAAGCTACTCCAGGAGCTCGTGGCAAACTCACGTGGGAAGGGGAGTTTGTCACAATGTATACGTAAAACAAAGTCAGCAAAAGACCACACAAGCAGTATATATCTCTGGGGGGGAACCCTCCACCAGTCCAAAGGATGCTGATGCTTCAGATGATGATAGGAAGTTTGCAAAACAACAATGCTCAGGGAGCTCTACCCCGATATTAAATATACATAGCACCTTCAGATGTACTAGTACAGTGATTAGTCTGGGCTACAGTGTGTAAGCCGAAAAAGGGAACAAACTTTTATAGGGCAGGGCAGCTGTAGCCAACACCTCCAATCTCATCTCATTAATTGGACTCCAGTTGGCTGACATCTCACTCCAATTAGCTGTTAGGGAGATGTCATTAGTCTAGGGGTTCACATACTTTTTCCACCTGCACTGTGAATGTTTACATGGTGTGTTCAATAAAAACATGGCAACATTTCATTCTTTGTGTGTTATTAGTTTAAGCAGACTGTGATTGTCTATTTTTGTGACTTAGATGATGATCAGATCACATTTTATGACCAATTTGTGCAGAAATCCATATCATTCCAAAGGGTTCACATACTTTTTCTTGCAACTGTATTTGTTTTCTGAGTGGCGGTTAAATGTTTAAGCAGTAAAGGCTGGGAAAGGGGCTAGTAGTTGGAGCCTATAAAGTGAAGTGCTGAAGCTGGGCGAGGGCCATGAATATTTTTGTTACCTAGCAATGCATTTAATAACAATTATTGTGACTAGAAAAGTAAGCGTAAGCCTTGCATTGCAGTAATAAGCCACCAGAGTGTAGAGGATTGCTGAGCTCAACAAGATATCTCAGACTAGTCTTCATGTAAAATTTCTCTTGAATTTCCTCAACACATATGACTTAAACTGCAGCTAGATTCTGGGCAGGAACTAGGACCACATTTAGAACTAGTAAGTAAAACTGCGGTTACAGCCACATCCATCTGGATCTCTAATGTATCTATGGTGTACAGTACAGATTTATGAAGCATAGATGAAATTAGTGTGGGTAGATTAAGGTCAAGAAACAAATGAGACCTGCCTTTGAGCAGGTGACAAACAAATACATCTGTTAGACTATCATAGGTGTATTATAAACTTGTACATTAGTGTTCAGCAAATTAGGAAGTGGTGGTGGGCGTGGGCCATGCTAAGATGAGATAATCGAATAATGAAATAATATGCATGTTCTGCATTGTGAACCTCGGAGGGAAACCATGGTATGTGGGATCAATACTGCTAAATACTGAGAAAGAAAGAGAGGCAGACATAATTAACTATTTATCTACTTTGTAACGTTGCTACCAAAAGAAATAACACACACATTTTATATTATTTTTGAGTATGTTTTAAAAATATGCAAATAATATGCAGAGTATAGATTTAAACATGAAATAAATGTTATGAAAACATGGGATGCGTTTGTGTGAAGAATTTGTTTACTTTAGTTTTGATTCGTTAAGTTTGTAATTTTGGTTCGTCTAAAATTTGGAAAATATGGATTTATCTGAAAATCCTGTTCATTTTCAGAAATTTGGGAGCCCTTTAGTCCCAATGGGAATGCATGATAGCGGCAGTCATATGGTTGCAAAGTACCATTTTTGGAACTATCTCCCAAATAGCGGAAATATCAAAGGAAAAGACCTGAACGCAGTTTAGTAGATAACTCCCCAATTTACTGCACAGACATAGGGTTTACATATTTAAGGAAAAATTAGGGAGCAATCTACTAACCAGCTGGAAGACAAAACGTTTCTTAATTATGTTCTTTTAGTTGTTTAGTAGATAACTCCATAATTTGCTATCTTTATCAAAATGAATTGATCTGAAATATTTTGATCTGACATGTTTTTTTAAATCCACTTTAGCTTTTGTTTCATATTTAGTTTCCGTTGATTCTACATTTTGAATGCTCTTGAATTTTGAACACATTTGGACAACATTTGATTTGTAAATAATCAAATTGCTCATGTCTAATATGAACTTAATGTATGCAATATGAAATCTATTTTATTCAAATATTTGGTTAGAAAAGAATTTTAAACATCGTTAGGACCAATACATTTATATTCATCTAGATTCAGTTGGAAAATAGTTGAAAATAAAGCAAAAAATGAAATGAATATAGAAGAAATGTTTAAAGTAATAAAAGTAAAAATGATCAATGGCGTAATTGGATTTTTTCATCCATTTGACATGTTTGTAGTTTGTGAGAAGCCACTACAACATAGACCTTCATCTTACAAAGCGCATTATCCACTCACAGAGATTTCTAATCAGTTCTGCAATGATTAGGAGGGTTACAATAATTAATTGTGAAAGATTTGTCCATGATTTAATGTGTTTATATTCTTGAACTGATTATTTGAATAACACGTCATGTGTAACATAGTTCAATTTCCTGTTATAATGTGTTTTTAATTTAAATATGTACAAAAACCAGATGGCAATTAATGAGCATGTTTAATGTGTAATCACGTTTTTCTGTCTAATATTTGTTTATTTACCTAAAATCCTGTTTAAACTTCATAGAAAAGAAATCATATAATTTGAAATACAAAGGTCAAACATCCAGGGATCTATTTCTGTGGGCTTAAACACTTTATTTTTGGAATTATTTAATTTGCGTAAAGGTTACAGAAAGTTACACTTCTGATTATATATCTATAAGAATGGAAAAAAAAATGAACTTGTAAACAGGTGGGGAAGGAATAAGAAGCCCAGATAAACTGTCTGTTAATCACACATCAAACTGGTAAAAAATAAAATAAAAACGCCAAATGAAGAACTGCCCTCTGTACAATAAACCTTTAAAATAACATGTTACATAAATCTCAGCAGCCAATAAAACATAGCATGCAATATATACAATTGCCACAAGATGGCAGTGCTGCACTACATTAGACATTCTCTGACATTAAAGGCATATTTATGTTGTATCTTTGAAAGAATTAACAGACATTTAGTCCTAATATTCAGAATCAATTTATCATCAGTTCACTATTATCTTATACTTCACTGGTTACGTTCTTTAATCCCGTGACAGTCAGAGGTTTCAGATTAAAGGTATTAGCATAAAGGCAGTAAAAAGAAGAAGAATTACATAACTGAAAAAAAAAAAATGAACAGGCGAACAGATCTAGAAACATATAAATACAATTAAGTCAGACGTGGTTAATACAAAATAAATGTAACTGTGATTTTATTGATTTGATCTGTTTTTAGGCTCTCAGTACAGTTCACACCCTATTGCTGTGCATGAAATAAGGACAAGGAGGAGATGAATCTGTTTATCTTATTGAGTGAATTTGGGGAGCATTACCTTGGAATTGGATTGGAGACCACACACCTTTTCTAATGGTTTTTTTATAAACATAGAGTTGGAGATGCATGGAATAACCTTTCAGATGAGGTAGTAGAGAGTCTTAGCCACTGATACAGGTTCAAAACAAATTGGTCTTAATCAATCAGTATCCTAAACAGGAAACTCCCTCAAAATAAAATATACAATGGGAAGAACAGATTGACCATTTCACATCCATATGTGTCCAATTATAGAATTCTATGTTTCTATTTCCTTGAAAAATACATTTCTCTCAGTTCATTTTAATGTCAGTGGTTTAGGGACCTGCACTTTTATACACCTCATTTCACTTTGAAATCTCTGGATTCCATTCTTCATGGCTTCCTTTACTGCCTTATTCCTAAAGCTGTATATGATTGGATTGAAAAGGGGGGTAAACATGGCATATACGAGGGCAAGCATCTTGTCATAGACTGCCGGACGTGAACCTTTTGGGCTGGCATACACAATGCAAGAAGAACTATAAAAAAGTGTCACTACAATGAGGTGTGAGGAGCAGGTGGAGAAAGCCTTACTTCGACCCGTGTTGGACTTGATCTTGATAATGGCTGCTATAATACTTAAATACATGATTATTACAATTAAAAGGTTGAACAATGTTGCAAAGCCTCCAACAAAACGGTTGACAGACTCAGTCAAGGGAGTCTCTATACAAGCCAGCCGTAAAAGTGGTGCTAGATCACAGAAGTAGTGTTTCAGATGGTAAGGTCCACAGAAGGACACTCTTGCAGTAAGTGTAATAGGAATGCATGCCATCATAAACCCACAGCACCAACACACCGAAGCTAGACGTCTACACATTTTTACACTCATTATGGTGGTGTACCTCAGAGGGTTACATATTGCCATACATCGGTCAAAGGCCATGACAGCCAACAAGTTGCACTCTGTGATACCCAAACTATGGAATAAATACAATTGAGCAAAGCACCACTGGAAGGAAATTCTAGTGTCATTTGTCACCATAACAGTGAGAAGCTTAGGTACGGTGGTAGAAATGTACCATATCTCCAGTATGGACAGGATAGTGATGAAGAAATACATAGGACTATGAAGCTGATCATAGTAGTGTACAATCAAGATGATGAGCATGTTCCCAGTAAGAGTCAGAAGGTAGGCAGTGAGAAACAACAAAAACAGACACACCTGGTACTGGTCAAGATGGAAAAATCCTTCTAGTAAAAATTCGACATGGCTTTGATTCATTTCCCCCATGACATGTTTGTGTTGAACCAATGACAAGGAGAGTGTTATGAAATTACAAGTTCCAGTTTGAGAAGATTGAGACCTGAAAACAGAAACATATATAATAAGAAACCGTGTCTCATTAAATATCCACATTCACGATAAACACATTCACAATAAAGGGAAGGAATTTACCCTTTAGACCTATTTACAATTTTATTTATTTATTTATCTACTCATTTATTTAAATGAGAATTGAAAGTGAATGTAAGATGAATTTCAAACTCAAGGTCAGAGTAGGCAAACTGAAAGTGCACAAATAAAAACAAATGTCTAAATTCTATAAGGCAACTTAAAATCACTGATCCGTTGATGGATGCTCCTAGTGCTTTCCGAGGACTCCAAGCACTCTGCCTGACACCATAACTACTGTAGTCTGCCATGAACCGCTGCAGCTTGGTTGGGGTCTCGCCGTCTCCACCCACTCTGGACCCAAGACCAGGGTCCAACTTCCAGTAGGTCGACCTCTCTGAATTCCAGAGAGCAGGAGCAGGAACAAGCTCTTAACAGAGCTTAGTGATCATACCCTGGGGAGTATAGTGATTATAGCAATCCCCAGAGTGTAGTTCTCCAATCCCCCAAACATGAGCCGAAACTTCATGAAGGTACAAGATGATCTGACTCCAATGAGCGTTTATTACTCCTTATATACAAGTTTTCAGGCCAGAGGCACACCACCTGGACCTGGTGGTAAACTGTGACAAAAGGAATACAAACCAATGGGAACACTAATTAACATAATAACACTCCCACATACACAATGAAACCCCTCCTCTCCATCCTGGAGATAATTGGCTTAAGGCACTGAAGTAAACTCAATTATCTCCAGGTACAGAAAATATCTACATTTTACACTAACAGCAAAAATACGTAAAAGTACATAAAAATACATAATTCTTATTATATTACACAGAACCCCCACATTTAACCTATCCCCAGATAGCTCGGATCTGAGCGCCCAATCTAGGTGAACAGCGCTCAGATCCCATGAACAGAGTAAATTTGCCATGGTGTAAAGCATAGCAAGGGCTGCTGAGAAACCAAGGAGGGACAAAAGCAGTCAGTTCCAACTGGTTTGGCATTGTGCCTGGGACAACGCCCTGCTGGAGAACAATAGACAGGAAACGGGGGAAGGGTAGAAACACACCTTCCCATGGATTCAAATGGGCAGAAAATAGTCTTTTTAAATGGCAATACACCCCAAGGCCATAGTCATGAGGAAGGAGGCTGTCAATCAGGCTCCTCCAACAGCCGGGGGCAAAGGGCAGCTTGTCACCTAACAATCTAGTGACAAAAGGCATTTCATCACAGTGTATTTAAATAATTTGTTGTAAGAGGATTGTGAGTATATATATATATATATATATATATATATATATATATATATATAATGCAAAATAAATGTGATAAAAATCGCAATTAAAAAAATGTAGTGTCAGAACTAAACAATGAATGTGATAGTGCTTTGATATATATACTCACAATATATATCATATTTCTGCTCTGAACATTATAATAAGTGATATTTCTATCCAAAACCTCCACAAATAAATACCTTTCTGTGGTCACCTCCAAACGGGCATGTGAAGCTGGGGGGGTTGGGTGTTTAACCCAAAAGGAATCTGGTCTGGATTCCAAACTTACATAGTAAAAACAAAAAAGGAATTGAAGGCTCTCTCTTAATTGTTTAGTTTTGACACTGCATTTTTTTAAGTGCACTAACAGGAGCACTATTTAATGTAGGACCCTCCGATACTGGGGTACTGTGAAGTAGCGGTGGGCGTAATACAATATGGCCGTATGGTGGAACTGAATCCCTATATCTGTCTGCTGAGATGGGGGATTTTAAGTAACCTTCTAAAATGTAATACTGTATTGTATATGTGTGCGTTGTACCTTCATCGGTATTATGTAGAAACACTGTGAATGACATTGCACCACAGAGCCAATAGATTAATATAACAAACAAACAAAGCATTGAAAAAAGTTTGGAATTCGTATAACAATGTTAAACCTTGATGTCTACGGATTGCAAAAGGCGTAAAAGCATAAAAATAATAACAACCAAAATTAGCGGAAAGATGAAAAGATATTATAAATGGAGAAATGTATAAACAAGACCCTTTCGTGCCTAAACGTGGGGTGAAATTATTTACAAGGTTTGTGAAATCTATCACCAATGTGAGAAGTTACCAGACAGAAAAATCTAATATTAATCAATGCATTACATACATAGACAGGACTCTACAATTCCTGAATGCAGCGTGTTAGAATAAAGTTCTGTGGAGTTACAGTTTTGATTGTATTTTATAGAATTCCCAGTGTATTTATTCTGCGATAAACCATATGTAACAAAATGGGGAGAAAAAAGAAAAATATAGAAATATAGAAAAATAATAACGTTTGCTAATAGCAGGATAAATCAATTAATACAGTAAACAAAAAGATTCACTGAATGCAGTAAACGAAATATGGACATTGTTACATTGTTTGGGGGGAAAAACTTTCATCTTTTCATTTTTTCAGATGTCTTTGTTATTCCAGTTTCTTTTTTTATCCACAACTTGTGACATTGGTGAAAGTTTTGACAAACCTTTGAAAAATTTCAACCCACGTTAAGGAACAAAAATATCTTGCCTATAAATTTCTCAATTGATGGTATTTTTTTCATTTTTAAGTTAATGTTCGTTGTTATTATTTTCATGCATTTTGCAATCCATAGAAATCCGAGTACCAACATTTATTTTTCTAAGTGGCAAATAAAGAGTTGGTATTATTGGTTTAATATATTTCATTTTTAAGGTATTTTCATGGTGTTACCTCAATACCAGCACCATCAGCCAGCTGAACCCCACTATTTGTACATTATTTTGTACCCATAGATTATAACACTGCCTCTGAGCCCTTATTTTGGGGGTGCTGGCAGATTCTATGAGGTTTCTATACTGCTTCAAAGTCTTTATTTTGGGGCGTTGGATAATTCTAATAGATTTCTACGCTGCACCCTGTAACTATTATTTGGGGGTGCTATTAGGTTCTTATACTTCCCGTCATTACTTTTATCTTTGGTTGCAGCACAGGATTCGGCACAACTGAGAGAAACAGCCCTGTTTACTTACTGCTACTCTAACCTCAAATATCCGGTTCCAACAATTAACAACTTCAGTATCAGAGCAAGTTATTCAATTTACTATATTTTGTCACATAAGCTCCTTCCCCTCTAAGGTTTAATTAACTGTGACTTTAAAATGCAATACTAAACTAGCCATCTATACATGTCAGCATTAACCCTACAACATTAATATGTAAAGGCGATAGTAATATTATAATGTTTATATTATTAATAACCCGACTAATAATAACCACGATAACGATAATATTTAAAGGCAATGTTAACGTTATAATGTTTATATTATTATATAATAACACGATAACGATAATATTTAAAGGCAATGTTAATATTATAATGTTTATATTATTGATATAATTACACGATAACGATAATATTTAAAGGCAATGTTAATATTATAATGTTTATATTATTGATATAATTACACGATAACGATAATATTTAAAGGCAATGTTAATATTATAATGTTTATATTATTGATATAATTACACGATAACGATAATATTTAAAGGCAATGTTAATATTATAATGTTTATATTATTGATATAATTACACGATAACGATAATATTTTAAGGCAATGCTTGCTAAGACACAGGGCTGTGCATTAAACTCTGATCACACCATGACTAGTCAACAGCGAACACATCTACACTGGACCTTGGTTACTGCTGACAAAGTGTTGGGTGGAGACGTGAAACATCTTTCTGCTATACGCACAGCTTGCCGTTTTTCACTGTTCGTTTACACATTTTGTTATAGGTTTATTTTACTGATATAAAATGGAATATAGAGAAGATTGTTTTAATGCTTCTCCCATTTTCTACCTTTTTAGTAGAGTGCGACATTTGGTTATATTGTTATAGTTTCAATCTGGTGATTCTTAGACTACATTTTTATGTTTGATTTATAGTCTGCTATACGTAAGACTTGAGTGAATAACCTCCAAAGTTTATCTGAGTTTATCCGAGTGCTTCCGCTGAGCCTGTTGCTATTTAACCCCTTAAGGACCAAGCTTCTGGAATAAAAGGGAATCATGACATGTCACACATGTCATGTGTCCTTAATGGGTTAAACTAATTCTGTCACCATTGAATAAACATTGAAAATCACCTATGAATTGGGTTAATCTTTTTTCTTGAGATGCTCAGTTTTTTCCCCAAAACTGATATTAAAGATTCAGAAAGTGACATCATAAATCAGTTCTGACAAGGCACAGCCAGGGCACACATTGCTAATGAACATTGTTTCATTTTCCCTCTCTCTGTCTGCTCTCTCTATACCCACAGAGTTTATAACAATGACTGACAGGGAGCTAAGATGGAGGTGGACATTAGCAGTGGGGTGAATTTCTACTTTTAATTTAAAAGTTAACACCTCACAAATACATGTTTGTTAAATATAGGGACAATTAAACATTATATTAAAAATCCTGGGATCTGTAGCTTTGATAAAACCGTGCTAAAACTGACAGATCTCTGGGGTTTATTTACCATCAGTGATGTGGGAAAAATAAATCATATAGTCAGTCAGTCTGTCTGTCTGTCTCTATCTAATGGCAAAATATAATAGAAAACATACAATTCTAATGGCTGCATATATTTACCAGAATAATTCAGGAATAAGTTGTAACAAGAGGCCCATTTGAACACATAGCGTGTTGATACGCACCTGGTGAGATTTCTCCTGTTCTGACAATAATTATTACATGAATGGGTTATTTATAACATGAAGAACATTTACCACCCAGATAATATTTTTAATTTTAAACTCTCCGAAGGAATGTGGAGGACATGTGTCGTCTTATGGGATTTATGGTATGACCATGTTTTTATCATTATGGTGAGTTG